GGACAGAACTCTCTTCTGGAGCAGAACTCAAAATGTAAATATAAAGAGCGCCTGCAAATTATGCAAACATGCAACAAAACCATCAAATAATTTGAGCTGTGAAAAATGTAAAGAAAATGTACCATGAAAGGTGTACCCCCAACGATTTTTGTGAGGGTGCGGTTGTGCCTCACAATGGGGGCAAAACCGTTTTTTTCACTAATTGTACTTTTTGTGAAATAACATTTTCAAAAACCGTTCAATTTTTTTCTTAATTGCATCAATTTAAAGCTTAATGATGAGGTTATTAAAATAAACTAGTAAAAAAACACATTTCCTTTTTATCTTCATCTAACATTATTCCAAACTTTACGGGGACGGTTATGCCTCCTTTTCCCCTATATGTAATTGTACTTTTTGTAAAATAACATTTTCAAAAACCGTTAAATTTTTTTCTTAATTGCATCAATTTAAAGCTTAATGATGAGGTTATAAAATAAACTAGTAAAAAAACACATTTCCTTTTTATCTTCATCTAACATTATTCCAAACTTTACGGGGGCGGTTATGCCTCCACTTCCCCTATATGTAATTGTACTTTTTGTGAAATAACATTTTCAAAAACCGTTTAATTTTTTTCTTAATTGCATCAATTTAAAGCTTAATGATGAGGTTATTAAAATAAACTAGTAAAAAAACACATTTCCTTTTTATCTTCATCTAACATTATTCCAAACTTTACGGGGGCGGTTATGCCTCCACTTCCCCTATATGTAAAGAAAAGGAATGGTCATGTTCATTACCAAAAATTGTTTTAAGTGTCTTGTCTTTGACACAGCACCTTGTTGCACCTATTGTGTTTAGCCGTTTCACTTCTACACAAGAAAATGTGATAAGAGATTTTTTTCTTTCTGTTTATATACTTCTGTTTGATTACACAATAATTTATCCACTAATTGTAAATATAAATGTAAAAATTTTGTATAATCATTTTGCGCAATTGTAGCAAGTAGGTTTAGCATACATTTTGTTATAGCAAAATATAGCTTCCAATTACAAACTTTTTCAGCTTGAATAAAACCCTATACAAAAAATATGTTTTGAACATAGTTTAGCAATAATTTTGATGTTTAGGAATTTGCCACGCAAATTTTTTCTTAAATTAAAACAAATAACTTCTTTTCAAACAAGGGGCTGATCGAGATAATCTAGTAAGGAGGGGCAATCTGGGTTCACCAAAATTTTTGAATCGGGGATCCACACCAGAATAAAGGTGGAGTTACAATTTTCAGGTTTAAATCGTAAAATGTTTTTAGTTAGTTTTTTTCCAATTTGAGTCTTACACTTTTAATTTATGTAAATATGAAATTGCGTCATATTGATATCCCAGTCTGATTTTTTTTTGCACTACGCAAATTTATTGAAACTTCTTATAACTTTTAAACAGCTTTTTTAATTTAGTATCATTTTCAAACAAAAAACTTTAATAAATATATAAACTTACAAAAAAAAAAAAGATTTATAAAATATTTAAGGTATAAGGGGGGCAATTGCCCCCATGCCTAACCTTCCTTCGCTTATTAATCCGCTCTTGTTTTAAGCTCAGAAATGTCTTTTTTATTATGAATTTGTGATTTGTACATTAATTTAATTTCAGTTTTTTTTTCATCATTTAATTCAAACCAAATTTTCCACTGGTGTATAAACAGAACAGACGTTGCAGCAAACATACGGCCAGGAAGACTTTCTAAAAAACATATCGTAGAAGATATATTTTCTAGAAAGAAAGTACAAATCCGCGTAACTAGCATTGGCTACTATATTTGGATATTAATAATTTTAACATCAAATATCTATCGTTGACATTACAAAAAATATGAATAATACTCTTTATACGAAAATAAAACCAAAATCTGTTGAAATAAAAAAAATATGTTTTAAACTTCTCCAATAAAATAAATGCACTTTAGATACGCGGTATTATTCAATGCTAGTTACGCGGTTATCTCCGACAATACGATTAACTGTTACGCAAGCATTAAAAGTTTCAAAAGCTGTTTTCAATCCACTTCCTTTAATTAAATTACCAATAACTCCAAGATAACTCATCAGCTTATAGAATCCTCCAACTCTAATAAAAAAATTCTTTTTTTTTGGAGCAGAAATTTCATAGGCTTTAACATAAAGCTGTTGATCAAATACAGAGCATTGCAGAGCATTTTCTGCCTATATTAAAATAAACTTTAACAAAGAGTTTACGACATTGAACTTAGTTGCCTGTAGATTGATTACTGGAAGCATTGATACTTTTGATTTAGGTAAAACATTATTATCTTGGGAGGTGATGCAGGCGGCCCAAATAGGGTATTGTAATTCAAAGATATACCGCAAGGTTCAATTTGCTTTAAAGTTGCCTTAAGAAATAAAAACAATTGACTCATCAAATATCTCAAAATAAATTTTATCTATAAATCTTTTTATTTAACTTTAAAAGTTTACATGAAATTTATCAACTAATATTTTTAATACTATCATTACTGAATCTAAATATGTAAATAATATTATATCATTTATAAATTTATTTTAAGATAAAACCAGAACATTAGAGCTGCGATACTGTGAAATTTCAATTTGGTTTTCAAAGTTTATTTTGAATTAATAATCTCTCTTATTTCTAGGTAATCTTTTCTTTTTTGTGTAGCCAAGAGAAGTCTCATTTGATAAAGAGCCAAATCCGTGATGAGTTTTTTTACTCTCAATTGTCGCTAAATCATGGTCTAAATTGTCTTTGTACTATGTATATCTTCATGAGTGAAGTATACATTTTCACAAGTATAAATACAACTACTTTTACTAAATAAACACAATTATCACTAAATAAAAAAAAAACATTGTCGTAATTTGATGCAAAATCCAGTATAGCAAACAACGATAATGGCTACTCCTAACTGTATTTGCATTATTGAATGTGGCCTCACTGTTGAAATTTATGCATGTAGAATTGATGATTTTTTTATTGGTATAAGAATTAGGTCTTTGATAAATATCTTTAGTAATTAAGGTATATATAAGTATTTCTTGTCGATTACATCTTTTAATAAAGATTTTTACATCATGGTCAATGTTCTTTATACCATCTATCACTAATTTAGCTGCTGGAGTTATCTAACCTTTTTTGCCTTCTACATTTTTTTTTTAATTGTATCAGCTTTCTTATGATATATGTCTTAATCTGCCCAGTGTAATTACATTAATTTTAATTTGGTTTAAGAGCAATTTTATAGAATCTCTATATTTTTCTTTTAGTTTAGTTTAAGTCATATTTGGAATATATTTCTTCTCCTAATGTTTGCATTATTTTGTAAATCTCAGGCAATCTGTAAGATTAATATCTCGAGTTGTATGCATGCTGCACAAAATAAAGTGAGCTTTCCAGTTGATGTAGGTTTTCCAGAGTCTAATGTAGTAAAATGTCTTTCAAATTTTGCTCGGCAATAAAGATGATACTGTGCCTCAGTGACTACAAAATTGTTTATGTTTAAACGTGTAGCTTTCATTGTTTTTGATAAAAAGTACGTTCTATAGATAATTTTAGTGTTGGTTGGTGAGTTTTTGGTACCTTTGTTTGAACTTATATGAAGTTATTTCTCCCAGGAAAGCGACTGTCAAATATGCGCATATCGCCGAAATACAAAACACTATTCTTACAATTAAAACCAAAAACTCGAAGCACACTGAATTTAATTCATTGGAGCTTCTAGATTGACATATTTTGTCCAAACTCCACCCCAATCAGGCTAAACAAATCTCCATTAAGTTTTTTTTACCAAACATGATATATACACGGGATTAAATTTTTTTTTTTAAACTTAGTTTAGATTAACAACTCCCAAAAATTTGTCAATTTTTTCCTGTCTTTGATGCTACTTTAAGTGAGTTTTTTTCATTTTCCTGGCATTTTTGCGATGCTGATGGCATTTTAGAATATTACTAATTAAAAAAACATTCAAAATTGCGTCAAATTTTTTTTTGCTCATTAACGACTTTATTTCTATTGCTGTCTTGAACATGTATTTATATATAAATAAGCACAAAGAACCTTTTCCACTTAGATAAACAAAGAAAGTATTCTAATAAATTTGTCTTTTTTTTTATGTGTTTGCATCACAATATTACATCACTTTTTTAAAGTGCTGTCTCTCCTTAAAATTCGATATTTTTACGAAAATCAAACAAATCAAATTATCTAATTGAATGAACTACCTCTTTATGATATCCCTAGCAACGCCATAGAAACGGATTTGATTATTTGTATACACCATACATTTTGCTTTATTTCAACCCAAACGAATGTTTTCCACTGCTTTCTTTTGGAATTTTTTGATTTCTATTTTATGATTATGTTGGTTTGTTAAAGAATAAGGTTGGTTGCTATGTACAAGCTTTAAAAGTTCTTTTCTGAACTCTTTTGGAATTGTTTGATATGGTCGGTATATTAAGTACAACAATTTGAGTCATTTATTGAGTAATTTTATTGCCTTAGTTTTATTACTAAAAAATGGAAATAGATTGTAAAGTGCAACTTTTATTTTTTTTAAAGTTTATGCTGCTATAGTTTTGAGTATACTTAATTAAAATTTGTTTTGATAGTTACTTTAGTGTTTTAATACGTATTTAATAAACCTATTTAGAAACTATATATTACATAAAAAAGGTAGATGACAAATTATTTATACTTTTAGCTACCTTTTTCAACTTTTACAAACTGTTAAAGATGACATCCAGACTTTTATAATATTATTGGTAATTAAGTTACATGGGTTTCAACTGCGTTTATTTTAACTTTTCTAACTCTTGTAAAATTATAACTTTGTTATTAGTTAGTTCTTTCGATTTCTAATCTGGAATTACAAGATAAAGATCGTATTAGATTATTATAATACCTTTAAAAGCTATGTTTATATTAAAGAACTAATTCAAAGTAATATAAAAAGTTTTAAATTTAAAATTGTTGAATTTAGACATAGATGTCCGAATTGGCTCAATTATCGGGCACCATTTGATAACAAAAGAATTATATGGTACTCATCGGAATCGCAAAGTGTATATGTTGTTTAATAAAGTACACAGGAAATGGTTAGCTATACCAAATCAACAGTTTAAAGAAACTTCATCAAGCAATTTTAATACCAGTGTGCGTAAAAATTTAGAAGGAGATTATAATCAAATCGCATATCTTGGACCCTATCAATGGTTAGGTAAATAAGAAACTGTAAATTTTTTTTTCGACGATATTATTTATTATTAATCAATTTTTTTCTTTATAAACAACTAGGAAATGCAGAAGGTTTATTTTTGCGCAAGCAAGCCAACGAATCGTGGATAAAAAGAGTGAATTGGCGTGTCTATTATAATTAGTATTTATAAAGCTTAATTTAATGTTTAAGTTGTATGGAAGTAAACGTTAAAGTTTTATTAGGTCGGATGAATAAAAATTAGCAATTGCCTTTACTCACCGTTTTTGGAGTAAATGCTCAGCTTTACGTCAATAAAAGTTTGAGCGATTTTATTCATTAATTTACGTAAAACACTGAACAGGATGAACATTTACTCCAAAATACATTGAACGCTTAAAAAAAGAATGTTTACTAGTAAAAGTGATTTCATTTTTTTTATTCACCTGGGCGAGTGGGTGTACGTTGTCCGGGGGACGTCTTATGGACTTTTGGACGTCCGCGAGATATATAACGGACGTCCTCGGGACGACGTTTTCCGACAGCCTTTTATGTTTATTATTCGTTTACTTAATAATCAAAAACTTTTTTTCTATGATTTTTTTTAACATAAATTTGTTAATAATGTAAAATATATTTAAACAGTGGTAATATATGGTGTAAATTTTACCTGAGCAATTTTTAATTACTTGTATGCATTCTTGTCTAGTTAAGCTATATTTTTCAAGTTTTGTATTAGCTTGAATAACTTTTATCCTTTAGAGTTATTCAGTTAATTGTTATAAAAATAATATTCTGGTTTGAATGGTTTTTTACAACATATTTAAAGCAAAACCTTTTGTTTCACAAAAAAAAATTAACAATTTTTGTTCGTTTTGTTTATATATCCATATCTATTTATTTATTTACCTCTCTCTCTCTCTCCCCCCCCCTTCTCTTTATGTATATATATATATATATATATATATATATACATATATATATATATATATATATATATATATATATATATATATATAACCGTTTGCCTCAGAAATAACGGATCCATGGTTCAAACCCCACCTCTGGGCAAGTTTTGTAACAACGATTTGAAAAGAGGCGTGAACTTCCAATTAAATGCTTATCCGCGGTGTTTGTGATAAGACCGTAAAAACCTCTTAGGGCACCAAAATTAGAAAAAAATAGCAGCATATTTATTTAGTAACACAATGCAATTTCCTTCAAGCTGTATTTAAAATCAATGTTTAGTTTTTATTATTTGGGATCATTTACTTTTTTAAACAATGTTACTAACTGATATACAAATTAACAATAGTTGATTATTCAAGTAACCCAGTGATGGGAATGTATAAAGAACATTTTAAGACCCTCATAGAAATGAAGAAATCCTTTTATAATCTGTTCCAATATAATTAAGGTTGTGGAAAAACTGGCATAATATTTTTTAAGATTTCATATTCATTATTCTAAGCTATTGTAAAAACAGCCCTTTTTAGATATGACTTCAATGTTTGGCCTCAACTTTGAAAAAGGACACTTGAAATTAACTCTTATATTATTTTTTATGATCAAGAGAATGTAAAATTTATAAGACCTAGCTGAGTAACCAGGAAAAAAAAGTACTGGTTCAAGTAAAAATAATTTTAATCTTCACATGCTACAGCTTCAACGTATTTTTATATTTTCCATAAGTGCCCAATAAAAATTTATTAAGGTAGTAATTAGAAAGATATTGAAGGGAGGACGGTTCAAATCATTGAATCGGCTCCCAAAGTACTGTCCGCTTGCTAGTCTGTTTACTACTTGGTGTTAACACCTCTGAATTTCACGTTAAAAAGAAAACAAAATATCTTGATTTTAAGTGAACAAGTAGTAATGCTACAAAAAAAATAATAAATAGAATCCAAATATTTAAAGCCATTTAAAAATAAATTTTGTCATTTTTACGTGCAAAATTTTAGTAATAATAAATAATCTATTATAATAAAAGAAACGTGGAAATATCTTTCCTCAATCACAATAAAAAAAAAACCAGGTTAAAAAAACTAATTTAAAATAACATCAAATTGTTATAAAATGAAATCAGTATAACAGTAGTACAAAGAAGACAAAAATTTGTTTGAGATAAAATTTGACAACGTATTTAAAAAAAAAAAACTAAATTCTCAAATGCAAAAGTATTAGGGACATCAATAAAGTTACCTTGTCAATAAAAAAAAAACATTTTCATCAAATAACTTCAATAAAAATTCAAGTAATTTATAAGAACAATCTAATAAACGTTTTTCAATTATAAAGCAATTCAATTTAAAAATCTTTTTTAAATCTTTTTTTTATTTTATTACTCATTTTATTGTTTTAATCAAGTCAAATGTTATTTATATTTAAACTTTATTAACATATACATAACGCTAATCACAATTAATACTCAGTTCGACTAATATTTCTACTAGAACTGTAACTGACTCTGCAAAAAATATCAACACCAATAAAAAAAACTAAATCTCCATCATAACAGCAATCTACTATTAACAATTACACAACAAAAACAACATAACAGTTACTACTACTACTACTACTACTACTACTACTACTACTACTACTACTACTACTACTACTACTACTACTACTACTACTACTACTACTACTACTACTACTACTACTACTACTACTAGTACTTGATATATTAAATTATATTTAATGTACTAATGTTAAATATTTTTATAAGCCTTTATATATAAATCCTGTATTAAATTTGTAAACAAACATTTATTTAAATTTTTTTTTTAAACATACATTTTAAGTAAAGTGCATTCCTACCTTATAACAAAAATTATATAGGTCTAGTATATATAGTGGAATAAAGTTCGTTTAAAATAAACCTCGAAACATTTTCATCGGTCGCTATCGTTTCAAAGAATGCTTGATAAAAAAAATTAAAATTATTAAGTTGAGTTAAGAAATTACTTTTCTAAACAAAAAAGCAAAACAAAAAAATGTTAATAAATCCTTTAATAAGCCTCTAATCAAAGCACACACATGAAGTCTTGTAGACGTACATTCTATAGATTTCATGCGAGTGAAAGGATCAGCAACGGTTTTGAGGATGAAGAGAAGTCTAGGTCATGCGTCGTACGATGGCGGCTTTAAATTGGGTAGGTTTTTTTATTTCACATTTTTTAATTTTTTGTAATTGTAAATAAAATAAATTAAAATGTTAAATTAAAATAATAAAACGCTCCTTTTTATGTTGCATGTAAATTAAACATTTGATTGCAACCCAGCTAGCACACTTACATTGGGCCAACGTATGTAAAACTATCGCAAACGTCGGCTCTGTTGAGTATTACCATTGTGCTTAACTTATTTTAAGTAATGCTTTTTTTAAACTGTTTTTTTGTTTTTGTTTTTTGTGAAAATCATTAGACGGTGGACAGTTTGTTTAAAAATATCAATCTTTGATTCCATCTAAAACTCACAATTTAATTACTTAGTAAAATTTTTTTTTTTCGTCAGAATGATTTCATTTGCATAACATGATTTCTTTTTTTTTTAGTAGTCTGTATATTATATTTTACTACTCTAGAGTAGTAAAATATAATATACAGACTAACTTAAAATAAGTTAAGCACAATGGTAATACTCAATAGAGCCAACGACAAATGGGGGAGGGGGCACATTCCCCACTTTTTTCCTAAAGGAATTTTTTTTTTTTCGATTTTGAAATTAACGATAGTGTTTTCCCTTATCAAAACCCGTGTCGTCAGACCTGCTCAAGAATGTATGTAAAAATGTTTAGCAATAAAAACAACTATTATAAATTTGTCATAATCTGTATAAAACAATATGCTATCTGCAAAACTAATATGCAGTATAAACTTTGGTGAAACATAGTTTCCATATAAATTGTTTATTTAACATATATGTATAACACAAATTTACTTTAAACTAAGTAAGTATTATTTATTGATAAAATCACTTACCTCATAGAATGCAACTCGACATTAAAAGTTATATTTTTATCAAAACTGCTGTAAAGGTTGGCTATCTGAATGTACAAGATTTAAAAAAACGATAAATAAAAGTAAATTATTTTATTAAACATGTTAAAAACGATTTTACAAATTACCGCATTTCTTATAATCTTCCTAAGATTTGAGGAAGCAAAAGTGGTAGAATTAAAATAATCAGATTGATATTGCACGTCAACAAAATAAACTAGCAGATTTAGATCAACTTCTACAACATAAAAAATAGATGTTTTATCTTGAAAAAAAGTTAATACTATATCGACACATACAGCATATAACTAGAACAAAGTACATTTGTATATTTAATAAATTTTATTTACTTTTTGAAAAAGATCACCCTCAATGATCCTCAATGGGTCACATATATGAGTAAATTTTTTTTTCTCTAAAACTATATCAACCTGGGTCTCAAAATAACCAGATTTAAAAAAAGATTTTTTTAATTAAAAATATTGTAAAAACAATTATTAGTTTATAATATCATAATAAAATACTAAACCAAGTTTTGTTAATTTTTTTTTTATTTTGTATATTTTAGATTTGCACCTCTCTTGATAATTTCTGATTGCTAAAATTATTTCATCTTTATATTTCCGCCATTTGCATAGCGTTACATATAGACTTCTGTTGTAAAGTGTAAACGTCTTTAGAAAATGTTGAGTTTGTAGGTTGTATATACATATGTGCATATATATAAACCTAGTTTTAAATATATATAAACCTACTTTTAAATATATATCAACTACTTTTAAAAATGAACAAGATCTTGACAATGTTATAGAAATGGTAATAGGTGCTTGCAAAGAGGTACCACTGTAAGCTGGTCCGTCTGGAGTGGTAGAATTAAGAGATAAATATCTCTGGCTCAGAAATAATAAACATGGAAGCAGCAACTGAAGCTGACTCCTAGCAGCTACTTTATGACCACATCATTAGATGAAAATGAAGAAGTTATGTGGAAAGTTTTGTGAAAATTTTATCCTAATTGATTTTTCCGTGCTATGCTTTAGAACAATGAAGACTAAATAAGAGTCCTTACAAACCTAAAAGGCCAATGATGGGGGATGATCTGTATACTGCAAAAATTGGAAATAGCTAGATGAACTGCTCTGATTCTCTCAACTTAAACATTTTTGCGTTCTTATCATTTAGTTGAGTATAAAACTTTGCAACTTTTTTTATGTCCACTTGTAACATTACAATATAATGTAAGGTAAATCATTACTTAATGTAATAGCCACTTTCAGATAAGCCAAAATTACAACTGATGATGGATCTTAGTTACAGGTATGATTTTTCCATTATTTCAAAACAACATTAGTTACAGGCTCAAAAAGCTTAGTGGCACATCTGACAACTGTGATCCTATAAAAAGATTGTGTTATTATTTAAACTTATTATTTTTATCATGTTTGATTTTTAAAATTTATTTATACAAACGAACCTAAAACAGCAAAATCTAAAAACTCATAGGTCAGGTCAGGTCAAATATAGATAGACTTTATATTAGAGCAATATGGTCAGTCATTCCATCAAATGCTTTAAATGACTTGTAATAAACCTCCCTTTAGACTCTTGGTTAAATAAAAACAAAAGATGGTGTCAAAAAATACTCATCATGTTTATATTAAATGGATCCAACATCTTTCTTAACAAGTATTAATTCACATAAAAGGTGTCCTTATTAGAGCTTTTGGTGCTGATTTAAGTTGATTTGCAGAGCTTAAGCCAACTGGATGACTAACTTGTAGTGCACAAACTACAACTAAATCAAGTTCTTCTATGCTCTGTTTCTCCTTGTTCTCTTTTAGGTGGTTCAGATAAGCTTTAACCTCATAATTTTTTTGAATTAAATTTCAGGCTGATACCATCTGTCTTGGTGATGAAAGTTGTGCTACATTTGTAATCTTGGATTCAGGCATACACGGAAACTTTTATTCTTTTTCACTCATTTCAAGTAAAGCCTTACTTTACTCTTGCCAAGTGTAATAATTTCTTTTACCTCTTACACAAGAACAACTCTCAGAAAAACAAAAAATCTTTTTATCATTGCTAGAAATTGGTGTAAAAAGGTCTGACGTAAAGAATACAACGTCGGGAAATCTTTAACAAAGGTTTTTCTGACAAATCAATATTTTCATTCTTTTGCTGAGATATTAACTGTTATAACAGAAAAGTTCTATTGTACATTAAATGAATTTCTATTGTACATTAAATGAATTTCTATTGTACATTAAATGAATTTCTATTGTACATTAAATGAATTTCTATTGTACATTAAATGAATTTCTATTGTACATTAAATGAATTTCTATTGTACATTAAATGAATTTCTATTGTACATTAAATGAATTTCTATTGAACATTAAATGAATTTCTATTGTACATTAAATGAATTTCTATTGTACATTAAATGAATTTCTAATGTACATTAAATGAATTTCTATTGTACATTAAATGAATTTCTATTGTACATTAAATGAATTTCTATTGTACATTAAATGAATTTCTATTGTACATTAAATGAATTTGGCAAAAGGCAAGAGCTATTGTTCTAGACATATCAGATTTTTGATAAAGTCTGAAAAGCTGGTTTTCTCCATTTTTAAATTTTTGGCGTACATACTTTATGGACATAAAACTAAACTAAAGTTACAACTTACAACAACAGTTGTAATATGTAGCATACAACCAACAAAAAACTTTGTGTATTAATTTTGTTCTTACTTATTTATGCTTAAATTCATGATTTATGTACAAAAGATTTTCTGGTTTGGGCAATAAACTTCTAATTTGTCTTTTTATGAAACACTGCTGTCACATTTGAGATGATTTACCTATTAAAGTCCTTCTCTTTAACAAAGTCAAAAGCATTATGTTGTTAGACTAGCTCTAGTTTGCTTTAAAACTGTGTCCTGCCATTGTAAGGTTTCGTCTTATAATTACAAATATGCTGCTCAAGTGGGCTATCATTACACATTTTACACATTCCATCAATTAAAACTCAATTTTGCACACTTGTCATTCAACAAAGTCACAATCTTTTACTGTAACGGTTTCTTCATGCTCAAAAAACGTTAGTTGATCTTCAGATTTTTGTGAACATCTAGGATTCGGAATTCTCTTTCATCTTCATATTTTCCTGACTCATTCTCATTGCAGTTTTTTTAGTCTTTTATCTTCTTTATTGCTCTTAAACATTCTTATTTGTTTTCTGTTAACTTCCAGATTAGTTAGTGGTTGCTTGCAGCCTTGT